GTCTAAACTTATCAAAGTTAGTTTCACTCATTTAATTTGAAATCAGTCGTTTTATTTATAATTAAATCCGCTCAAACTACAATTTCAGTTAATTTTAACTGATTATTTATTTTATGGGGGATATTTATTAATTACAAATGGTTAAAAAGGAACTGCTACAGAAGCATTAATGGGTTAAAAGCAGATTATTATGACCATATAGTTGCTTGTAAGTAGAAATAAATACCAAGCTAGTTTAGTAGTATTACATTCAATTAAAAGATATGCTTCATAAACGTTAATACCATGAGTTGAAACCATTTTTTCTTCTATGGATAATGAATTTTACCTTTATTTTCACCTTATATTAGTAATGTTCAGGTTACTTGTTTATAAGAGTACTTGGCATACATACATAGTTAAACTAAGAATGTTATTTTCATATATCCTGTATGGTATAAAGTGTGAAGAATTAGCTTATGATTCAAAGATTCTCATAGAATCTACCATTTACCAGGCCAACAAGGTCGAGCGAAGTAGATGTTAACTAGACGTATCAACTTATTGTAATTATCCTGGTATCTGCTAAATTTAACGCGTCTTATTTAAAGAAAAGTAAATATGTAAAGTATGTACAAGTCTAAATTCGGATGACATTTATTTCACAATAAATTGTTTAAACATCGTTCTGGAGCATAGTCACAACTTTCAAACCATGATATTTACATGTTTGCTTTGTAAAAATGTGAAGTTTTGCGCTAAAAATTTGAAGCTAAGTATTCTTTCATCACAGCTGCACTTTCGCCTTAACGTGAAACAGGCAGAAATACAGTATTCCCAAAACTTTCTTGGTTCCCATCCAAAGCCAACTAACATAAGCTGCTTTTTAGGTTTCTCCAGATAAAAGCATCTATTCCATTATTTTTAGAAGAAAAAGTCCAGGTAATAGTAAAGTCCCCTGTCATAGTAGTTATCATTATTCCCAGAGTTTGACCGTGGACTTAGTACATTCCCAGATGTTTCAACGGCATCGTAGTCGGAATTGTCATTAAGTCTTGTCATTCTTAGCACCAAGTTACAACTTGTCAATGTTACAAGGAAAGTCAATCCTTGTCTCTTTGAAGAGTTGTAGTTCGTTGCTGAGAATGGCAAGACTCAATGACGATTCCGACTACGATGCCGGCAAAACGTCTGGGAGTGTAACAAGTCCACGGTCCACTGCTGTGAATTATGATGGTTACTATAGCAAAGGACTTCGGACATCGTGTGTCTAACAATGTCTCTCTGATAGCACAACAAAATTGCGAAAACGAGGTCCGACCACTTCTATACATCGAAAGGAGACTGTGACCCAAGCAGAGGCCACATCTTGATCGTCATAGATACTAAAAGCTAAGTTTCGTTAAGTAAAATTAATTGGCATTCTGATGACAGGTGTGTAGTTAAGAGGCTCATGGATTCGTGGAAATGAGCTCAACATGGTGCTTCGAGTACCCAGCCTCTAAGGCATTAATTATACATTGCAAAGAAATGGATTTCTATACCTTTGAACCTAATTGTTCTATTAATAGGGTTTACACATGTAGCTCGGCTATTTTTAAGCTTATTTAGTTAAATCTTGGTCCTCGAAATGACAAAACCATCCTATGTCGAGCTACGGTTTGCAAATAAAAATAGTAACATAAGCATAGCGCATTCTGTAAAGTAACGGATAAATAACTACAAAAATATTATTTTTCTAAACTACGTATACTCGATTCACTAAATAATAGGACCATTTAAGGCAATGTGAATAAACAAAGAGCATGTTATCGATCCATAGACAAGATGAAACTGTCGATGTATATTTATTTAAAATAACGCGCTAAATTTCATAGCATTGTGATAGTTTAGGGGCTATTTTATTCAGTTTTGCTACTTATAATTTGATTACCCCGTAATGGTATGATACTCCTGCTGGATATCCGTTCATATAGGAATTTAAGTAGCTACTAGGAGTTTCTTTCTGCTACACAGAAGCTGGTGAGTCGATGGTGCACATCCAGTGAAGAATCCAATGGCTTTCACGTTATCTAACAGTGCACATAGCCTTTCTTTACCCAAAATCGGGACCCTTATACCGAATCGAATATTTGTTGGGGGAATAACATCTAATGTAACTTGTATTTAGTACATTAATATAAATTTGTATAATTTAGACCACAGAAGATGATCTTCGTAGCTTCTTTTCAGCTTTTGGGCCCATACGTGATGTTAAAGTAATTTATGATAGATCTGGACTAGCTAAAGGAAGTTATGGCTTTGTGACTTTTGAGAATCAAGAAACAGCGGAGACTATTATTAAAAATGAGGCAAGTATTCATGAGTATCATTAAAATTCAGTCTGAGTCCCTCACTTTGAAAGACCGGAAGCTTAATATTGGCTATGCGGTACGGAAACAAGTAAGTAAATTTTATTGAAACTAGCAATTATTTCAGCATATATTTCCTCGTCATGGTAAGTAAACTTTTTTGGAGTGAAGATGCTAGAGTTTGGTGGTGCACTCTTAATGACCAATGGAGCGATTCCCTGCGTCCTTTCAAACGGGCTTTCATTTATTCAGTTACCAAACAAAGATTATTCACTCGTTAATAATCATTCGGTAAGCCATACTTACTCGCGATATATGTATTTATTTATATTATTCTTTAGAATGTTTATTCTACTACTCTTGTGTTACCTCAAAATATCTCATCAAACGGGGGAGCGCATCAAACGACAAATGCCGCTAGATCCCAAACGACTACACTACTCCAGCGACCAACTACAGCTTTGTCTAGCTCTTCTTCAGATAGAGCTAGTTCTATGCTTGGCAGCTCTCCACTTCTCTGCACACATGGCCAATTGCCACTCCCGCCTAATAATATGAATGGGATTCAAACATTAATCTCTCCACTAAATTGCACAAATAATGAGAATTTATCTTATTTCATCCCCCCGGTTCGGCATCATCCACGACCAGGATCTCATCTACAAGCGAAGGCCTCAAGGGATCAACCACAAATTTTTCCACAAGTTATGTTGAATGGAATTCCATCGTTTACGAATCAGCAGGCTCAGGAAGAAAATGGAATTATATTACGATCGAAATCCTCAGATTACCCACAAAACGTACAGACATGTGATACTAGAATTTTTTTGAATGCAGACGTTGCCATTCCATCGTTTATCACTTCAAACGGTTCAGTAGCCTTTGTCGAAGAACCAAATGACAAAGCGCCTAACAACCAAGGTCACTCCATGAATGCTTGCGCTCAATCTACGGAGCAAATGTCTTTGATGAATAACTTTGCCCTTGCTCAACATCCTTGCTCAGCTTCCGCAGGAAGCTTTATTGAAATGAATCCATACTCACAAATTTCTTCTAATATTCAAGCCCTTCCGCAACAATCAGCTACAAACCTGCGATCAAAAAGTCATCCACATATTCATATAATTAGCCCTCCGGTAAATCAACAGCAGCTTATAATGCAAGGAGGAGTCATAACATCCTATAGTTTCCCTCAGAGTGTGCAGAAAAGTTGTCATTCAGTAAACAAGTTGGATCAGTATAAACTACTAGTGCCGAGTGCGGTCACAATTGGTGAAACTAAACCAAATCACTCCCATCAAATGGTGCCTAATTCTGCAATAACGTCTTTAATGCAAACGGACAAACCTCTTCGCGAATCAGTAGGATATACCTGTGTACACGGGCAAATTAATCAGCATCCTATATGTATGTTTTCAGCACCGACATTGGTATCGCCAGTTCACCAAAACATAGCAAATCCCAATCTTCTTGTGTGCAAGATAGATAAAACCTCAAATATTAGAGATCCTTCCTCCTTAGTAATGCCTTATTCGGCTGATGCTGGAACATCTTCTATATCTGATACAGCCTCAAATTTTTCTTCTTATCTATCCTCTTCCGCGTCCTCATTGACAACGCCTTCTACACCATCCATAAATTGTTCTTTGAAATGTTATGCAAATATGCTTCAAATGCTATCCAAAGATTCCTTTTCTTCTGCAAAATCTGGTTATCATCCCTCTTCAGACTCACTTATTCAAAATATCAAGAGAGAATCACCGAATTTGCCAAATGCCCATCTTGAGGCCTGGCAGCCAGGTTCGGAGCAACACCAACATAGGTTGAGTCGGATAACGAATATTTCTGGAGAATCGGAAAACGTTTTTAACACACAAGTAAGTGATGGAAAAATGATTGATATTTTAAAGTATCAATATACGTGATTAGTATGCAAAATATATATTTTTTATACTTAATTGCCTAAAATATGCAAGGGGTAATGGAATAAATATGCTCTGAAAGATTCAGTTAAATCAAGATTCTACTAAGATATCAAGAACATGCCAATTTTTATGATCAAAACAAAATATAAAAGCATTCTGGCCCCTTTTTCGCTACTTGGTTACTAGTGGCTAAAGCCGCATGAATATGAATTCAATACTATAATATGTACATAAATACATCTAGTGTTCGAATGAAAGTTATATATTATGAAATATTTTGTTAAGAGCAGTTGTATTCGAAAATTATTAAAATATACCTTGTGGCGTTGATAATAAGGTTAGAATAATTATGCTGACCCCATTAATTAAAGCTAAAGTGAACAAAATATGGCTTTGTTTTAGGTTATTATGCCTAATGGATTAGTAAAATATGTGGAATCACTTTGCTTACTTTTCATATGATAAATGGAGTTTCAAGAGTGAATACATTTCACTTTTCTTTATCTATCTAAAAATAAATAGTTCACTAGATAATATTACAAGCATATTACAAAATGTTTTTGATTATACTTTGATAATTAAAGTAAGGAGTAATTTGATTATTAAAATATTTCAAGTATACAATAAGAGAGAAAATGAAAATT